ATGAATGTAATCACACTTGATTTCGGTGTCAAAACTAGACCTCATCCACTTCAGGTTGTGATGATCTTGTAAGTACTTACCGACAGTTTGACTTGATTCTAGAACCTTGGAGAAGTGTTACTCAAACATTGAAGGTCTATATGTCTTTCCCACGGCCCACATGCGACCAATTATGTCACCGCGATATCTTTTGGAAAAATTCTGCATCAAATGTCTAAAACACTCCCTTTGTTCTGCTTGAGGGAAAACTTTCTTAACTGCATTTTCTAAACCTTTACATGCATCTGTACTAATAGCAAGCTTTGGAATTGGCCCCAGTGCTCTACGCAACTGTGTCATGAACCATGTCCAGTTATCTTCATCCTCAACCTCAATAAAACCAAATGCAAGAGGAAACATCCAATTATGTCCATCTAAAGCGGTACATGCAGCTAAATGACCATTCCACTTCCCATTCAATGCAGTTGAGTCTATGCTAAGAAAAGGCCTACATCCAGCATGGAACCCATCTACACAAGGCTTAAGTGCCATAAAGAATCTATGGAAGTAGACATTACCGTCCATTAGTTTAGTGTCGACCTCAACAATGGTTCCAGGAGATCTCAGTTCTACCTCTGCTTTGAAATTGAATAGGTACCGAAAGCTACTACCCCACGAACCATATATCTCATCCTTTGTTCTCTGCATCCCCTTCCATACAGTGTCATAGCTAGTGGTTACATTCCAGTCTTCCTCCAACATGTCCTGTAAATCCTTGCAACCTATATTTGGAGTTTTCCTCAATATCTTCTTAGACCTTTCTTGAACCCAGTCCTATGAGGCCATTGCCGAAGTTAGCATGCTACTTGAAACACATGTGTGTGACGGTCCTATTTGGTTAACCTGCATACATGACAAAGTTGTTAGTGTAGCTACAATAATAGGATGCTACCATAATAGAACATAATAGAAAAAATGAATATTAATTAAGCTATGTTAGTACCCTAGTCTTTGTCTTGTCAGCCATCAAACGACATCTTATTTTCCATGGACAATCCTCAGCCATACAATGTGCCATCCACCTACTCTTGTTAGCTTTATAAGTCCCTAGGTTGAATTCTTCATTAATTGCCCATTGTCTCACGGCCCTCCTACAATCTATCATTGTTGGAAAGATTGAACCTTTCTCAACTTTTGGATGATCTTTGTCATATAAAATTTCTATGTCTTCAGGAACTTGGTCATCTACTGGTATGGCTCCCTCAGTCATTAATTCCTCACTAATATGGCACACAACAACTGGAGCTGGCTCATTTCGTTCTTGAGCATCCTCGACCTCATCCTCAATTCCAAGAACCACACACATGTTTTCCTCAGACATAGGAGCTATTACATCATCACCAACAGGAGTTATCTCAAAAGTGGACCAATCAATGACGACTTCACCATCAGATTGCACATATCTCTGATTACTAGGTAGCAAATTACAAGTCGCGGAATCTTGTGCTAGCATTTGACTGGTAAACTTCAGAACTTGAGCTAATGATATTGTCCACTATATCACTAGATGGGATATTTCCAGAGCAAGATGATGTTGTAACCCCCTTTGCAATGTCCACAACTTGCGCAAGCACAAGCAATTCTTTCTCTTTCCATCTCTCAAGAAAAGCTGTCAACAACTTCCAATAGCTATCAATCCTCTCAACTGATTCAAAGTGCTTTTCTTGACACAAAATATGGACCTCTTGACCAAGCCCCCATATAATTTTTGACCTAATGAGTTCTATCAATTTTTCAACCGTAAAATGTTTTATGTTAACCTCAAACTCCACGTCATGTTCCGCAACTTGAAGCTCACTGCCATCATCAAGCTTTGCGACAAATTGAAGAACACTAACAATTAGTTTATAGATGACAACACGCAACCCTGCACCTTCTTCCCTACAAAATCACATGATTTTTCAAACAAGATCAATGATTGGGCCTAATATTTCATAAAGTTTCTATAAAAAATTCAGAGAGTGCTCCAATTCAGAAGCTACTAACCCTTTCGGAGCTGCACCATCTGGCTCCATCACCACAATCAATGCGTTCTACTTGTAGTGAAGCCTCATGTTATCTCTCCTCCACCATAATCTCCATTATCTAGAGTCCCTGTACGCCTCAAGTTCCTGGCTGCACAAGTGAGACAGTTAGACAGAGAGGGAGAGGCAGAGAGAGAGGGGGAGAGAGATGCGATCGATTCCACCTATGAGTCGATGGATGAGGCGTGGGTAGGGCGGAATTGCTGAGCGTTGTCAGATGAGAAGAAACGGACAGGAAGCGGCGGGGAACTGTCAGCACTCGGGGTCGGCCAAGAGGAACGGCGGCACGGTGCTGAGGAAGCAGGGTCGGCGGCGCGGTACAGGGGCACCGGCGGCGCGGGTGGGACGAAGCAGGAGCGGCGGCGCAGCGGCTCCTCGTTTCGTTCGCTATTCCAGGAACGATCGATCGAAGCGACCGAGTCAGGCAGGTGAAACGAACAGGGGTAAAAGCGTCCTACAAATTATGATGTGGGGGGGCATGCCTAGAAAAGGAGAGAAAAACATAATTTGTGTCATTTAATCTAGCTCTTAATCAGAGGTGTGCCATCTAATCTTTACCTAATAATAAAGAAAATTGGGTTTCTGTCGTCCGTCGCACAATTTGCCCTTGGAGTTCGCATGAATTACCCACCTATGCCACAGGTAAGTTGGAAAAACGATTCGTTTTTTTTTCTTTAAGTCGGCCGTTCATTTTGATACAATAAGTAGCCAACCCACCAGCAAATCACTACTGCATGGCCGGACCGACTTGCTAGACCCTCGCGCTCCCACCTAGGGGACCCAGGTTCGACCCCAGAATCTCCCCTTTTCTCTATTAGATAAGATGCCTGATTGGGCCAGCCCAACGCGGCCTACAACACTTTTTTTTTCTTTTTTTTTCACTTCTATTACATTCGCTTTGTATTTTCTTCTTTTGGCTTTATTTCGAAATATTATAAATATTTTAATTATAAAAATCACTTATATGCGGACTTTGAAAGAATGTTAATCATGCATTAAACAAATGTGAAGCTTGTATAGAAAAAAATGTTTTCATTATATACAAACAAGTACAGTGTGTATAGAAAAATAATAATATATTTTCATTCTTTAGTAAATGTTAATCGTGCATTAAAAAAATAAAATGTGCATGGAAAAAATGTTTCTGATGTATATATAAAAAAATGTATACAAAAACATATACAATGTGTATGGAACAAAGTAGACATAAAAATTATAAGTTTTCAAAAATATTATCATGTATCATGTTGTTAAACGTGTACGTAAAAAATGTTCTTGATGTATACAAAAAAGTAGAATGTGTATAAAATAAGTAGACATAAAAAATAAATAGGTTTTGGAAAATGTTAACCATGAAATTGGAAAGTATTAAGCGTGTATATAAAAATGTTTCTGATGTAGAAAAAATTTACAATGTTCCTGATACAAGCTTTACGTAAACCAATGGCTTGACTTTAATTTTCATATTGTTTTAAATTGTTTCCATAATTTTTTTCTTGAGAATATCGATGTTCATATGCAACCTTGAACATTTGGTATGCATGCCCTTGCAAATTGATTGTTTTCGATGGAGTTGTCTAACATGTTTGCGACCAAATTAATACTTGACTTGGATTACAAAAAACACATATATCAAGGAGGCAAAATGATGCTCTTTTGCAAATGTTATTTTCATGGTAATGCAAATATTTGTTGGGCACCACCGAGAAGGAACGACAACAAATGCGTAAAGAGATACTTGCAACTAGATAGATATTTATATTGTCTAAATTGAAAACACCTTGAATACACTTTAAAAATCATCACGTCTTTATGTTTTTGCGCAACATCACTTATCATTTTGTTTTTCATGTGACATCGTTCACGATTTCAAGAGATTTACTGATGTCTCGAGAGTGTGTATGAGATGTGATTTTTTTGCTCCCGTTGCAACGCACGGGCTTGTTTGCTAGTCAAGTTAAAAGAAAGATGTGTCATCAGATCAAAGTGTCAGGAAAAGTGTGTCATATAATCAATTTGCTCTAGTTTGATGATGACGAACGGTACGGGGATTAGATCGGTTGATTAGTGGCTTGTTGCGTTAACCACATAGATGTTTTAGACCCTTGGATCGGCTAGATAAACGGTTCTGGTTATTTGGATCTGTCCCCTTTCTTCTTTTTATAGGGGTAGTAGATACACCGATCCACTCCATCTGCGTTTACCTGGACTGTGTAAGATGGCACCACCACCATCAGCGCACGATGAACATAAATAAATCTCGATAGCGTTATCTCGACATATCCGTGCCGTGGGCGTTCCTGCGCTCCACCAGCGACGTTGCCCACACGCGTCCTACGTATGGATCCATCTGTCATGGCCTGAACCTGAAGTAAGCTAGGGGACAGAAGGCGCGGTCGCAGAGGCAAATTAACCGGGCGATCAGGGGCGCGCGATCCCTTAGCACGGCGTTGACTGTCGGCAGCGTGGACTGCGTGCGAATCCAAATCATTCTGTTGTGCCGTACGTAGTACGTGGCGCGCGATGCAGCTAGCCGTATACGTTCAGGGTTAGAAGCTGTGGCGTAGGCGTCGACGGAACGTCGGGCCAACAGATGGAGGCGGAGAGAGCGCGCACGCCCGGCCGGGAGTTGGGCTGCGTCGGGACGTGGGGTGGCGGCAGCGGGAAGACGGAGCGGCGGGGATGGCGTGCGCCGGCGGCCGAGGTGGTCGTGGTCGGGCTGTTGGCTACCGTGGCGTTGCTCGTGACGGCTTTCGGCGCCGCCGGCGGCCTGCTGCCGTCCTCGTTGCGAGGAGTGGAGTTCGTGCGAAAGCCAGGTAGTAGTAAGCATCGACAATCGTATTCATTCATTTACGAGACCATCGAAACCGTGGTGCAAGTGCGGTCGTAATCTTGAAGCCTTGTACCGTGTAGTCGACGCGGCGCCATCACCCGTGCATGCGGCACCTGACCGCGACAAGCCGGCGTCGTCGCCTCGGCGCGACCAGGACGTGCGCCTCCTGGGCGGGCTGCTCTCCCCGGCCTTCGACGACCAGTCGTGCCGTTCGCGGTACGCGTCGCCGTCCCTCTACCGCCGTCCGTCGCCGTTCCGCCCCGTCGTCCCACCTCGTGGCGCTCCTCCGGCGGTACGAGGCCTGGCACAGGCGGTGTGGCCCCGGATCGCCGCTCTTCGGGGAAGCCGTCGAGCACCTGCGCTCCGGCCGCAACGCCGCGCGCTCCGAGTGCCAGTACGCGGTGTGGACGCCCTTCAACGGCCTCGGCAACCGCATGCTCGCGCTCGCCTCCACGTTCCTGTACGCGCTGCTCACCGACCGTGTCCTGCTGGTGCACGCGCCGCAGGAGTTCGACGGCCTCTTCTGCGAGCCCTTCCCCGGCAGCTCCTGGACGCTGCCCGCCGGCTTTCCGATCGCCGACTTCGACGCCACCTTCACCATGTTGTCGCCCACGAGCTACAAGAACATGAAGAAGGCCGGCACGATAAACGGCGGTGACCGTGTCAACGTTACCGCCGAGGGGCTCCCCGCGTACGTGTTCCTCGACCTCATCCAGTCCTACACCGACGCCGCCTTCTGCGAAGCCGACCAGCGCGTGCTCGCCAAGTTCAACTGGATGGTGGTCAAGTCCGACGTCTACTTCGCCACCGCGCTCTTCCTCATGCCGGCGTACCGGCGCGAGCTCGCACGGCTATTCCCGGAGAAGGAGGCCGCGTTCCACCACCTCGCGCGGTACCTCTTCCACCCGTCCAACGACGTGTGGGGCATCGTCCGTCAATTCTACGAGGCCTACCTCGCCGGGGCAGACGAGCGCGTCGGCCTGCAGGTGCGCGTGTTCCAGGAGGTGCCGGTGCCGTTCGAGACCATGTACGGCCAGATCATGCGCTGCTTGGAGCAGGAGGGTTTGCTACCCAAGGTCGCACTCGCACAGCAGAATGCCGCCGCGGCGAGAAACACCTCTGCCGTGCCGCCGCCGGACGGCAGGAAGACGAAGGTGACATCGATACTGGTGACGTCGCTGTCCCCGGAGTACTACGAGCGCATCCGCGGCGTGTACCACGCCAACTGGACGGAGACCGGGGATTACGTGGTGGTGCACCAGCCGAGCCACGACGGCGTGCAGCACACGGAGGCGCGCGGCCACAACCAGAGGGCGCTGGCGGAGATATACCTGCTGAGCTTCTGCGACCGCATCGTGACGACGGCCGTGTCGACGTTCGGGTACGTGGCGCACGGGCTGGCCGGGGTGAGGTCGTGGGTGCTGCTGCGGTCGCCGTCGCCAGAGACGCCGGCCGAGCCCGCGTGCGTCCGGTCGTCGACCGTGGAGCCCTGCATGCAGGCCGCGCCGAGACAGATGTGCGGTGCGGCGAAAGGGAGCGACATTGGGGGTCTCGCGCCGTATGTCCGGCACTGCGAGGATGTGCATGGAGGCGTCAAGCTATTTAGCTAGCTAGCGCGCCCATTTCTTTGTCTGTGTACATAATATGCTTGAGAGTGTCTATTTAGCATTCGACTGAAATTAAAATGAGTTTCATTCAAATTTTGTACAAATAGAAACATGGCACGTCTATCCTCAACCAAAGCGAGACACTCCGGATTGACGACAAAGCGGTGGGAGGAGGATAGAATGGACCCTCGGTGGCGTGTCCGCTACGCGGCAGATCTGGAGACCGTCCACACCGTCACCCTTCGCGACGGCGAGCTCCTCCTCCGCAGGGATGCTCTCCGCCTTGTTCTCTACGACGACAAGGGCACGGTGGTGGATGCCCGGGCGCTTCGCGAGCACGAATTCGTCGACATCGGGCACATTATCGCGTTCCCCTGCTTCTTCGCTAGGGTGCGTGACAGGATCCCGGATCCCATGGCAGCCCCGCACCGAGTCGACGACGAGCGTGACCGACGAAACGTGACAGGCCTCGAGGAGACACGGGCGGTACACGGTGCGGGGTTTCGACACCGCGTCCCACCAGATCCGCCATGGGTGGGTCCCGTGGTGGGGGAGGCGCCTGCAATGGCGGCGGCTGTACACGTGGACGAAGATCCAGCGCTACTAGCACATCGCGGCGATCCGGGCGTGAGTACAGAAGCCAAACCCCACTCTCCGCTTGACCTAGACGCCGCTTTCTCCCACTTCTGGGCAGCGCCGAGAAACCCTAGATCCAATCCACCCGCCTCCTTCTCCTGGTGGAGGGGAAAATCGGTGGTGATCTCAGATCCTTCGCTGAGATCGCGGCCTCCCCTCTGCGACCACCTGATTCCATGGCGGATAGGGGCGGGCATGGATTCCGTGGCGACCGCCGCGAGGGATTCGGTGCTGGTCGGGCGGGCCGTGGTGCCGTCCGCTTCGACCGCGGCGGCGGGCGCTTCGATCGTGGCGCGGGCAGATCTGACCGCGGCGGCGGGCGGTTCTCGTGGCAGCGCGACGACGTCAACAACAACGGTGGAAAGTCCACCCACTCGGACACATCGGGTACCTCGCGCTGGGACGCTACAGCTGCTTCCAAGGAGCGCATCGACAACAATTCGGAGGGCGTGTGGGTGGAGAAGCTCCAGAGATCTACTGGATCTGGCGGGGGGAGCAGCCACCAAGCCGATCTGACTCCCACCCCGCTCGCTCCTCCAGCTGCTAAAGCTTCACCGAAAAATCAGGTGCTACCTTACAAATCTGGCGACCCCTGTCCCATTTGCAAATCTGCTGGTCATTTCCCTGTTCGTTACCCGCAAGCATTTTGTAAGAGATGTAGCAAACTGGGTCATCTTGCTTCCGTTTACAATGAGTTTCTGCCGTGGGAGTGCATTGCTCCGATGTGTGCTTTCCAGGCTAGGGGGCGTTTTTTTTCTATATACATGATTATTGTTCTGCTGAGCAAGCGAGAGAGCGTTCGTGCAACGTTATCATCACTGTCTTGAGGGGGAATCCCACGGTTAAACAGATGAATGACGCGTTCTTCTTGTACCTGGGTAAAACTTGGAGGTGTTCGGCTAAGTTGTTGGAACCTGGTGTCTTTCTGATGAGATTTCCCAACACTAGAGAGGTGGAGAAAGCCTGCTACAGTGACCGTATGACTATGAAACCATGTGGTACTGTAGTTAGGGTCACTCGATGGAATCATGATGATGGTGCTAAGGGGGTTTTGGAAAAAGCTTGGGTCAAGGTGGGAAACATCCCCATTGATAAGAGATGCGAGAGAAATGTCGCTTTTGTTGCCTCTCTTGCGGGAGTACCTCTGGAGATCGATATGGCCACGTTGCATCGGCCCGACTCTGTGAGGGTGAAATTGGGTTGCCGTGATGTTGATGAGATCACTCCAGTGGCTGGGTCAGTCCTGGGGGAGGGGGGAGTTTCTATGATTTCACATTTTCAGTTGATCAAGTGCTAGTGAGAGACCCTGAAAAGGAGAGCCACAAGACCAAAGCTCCTGCTGAGCAGGAAGGGCCCTTGACAAAAAAGTAGAGGAAAACAGGGGGTGGTGAAGATCCAATGGGGAGCTCTTCGGCTGGGGGAACTGCTCTGAGAGGAAAATTTACGAAGGGGAAAGATACCGGCCCTTCTGAATCCCCTCTTTCTGTCAATTCAGACAGCTCGAACCATGACACCCTTCTGATCCACTCTATGGAGCAGGAGGCTCTTGCTGAGACAGAAAAGAAGCATCAGGGGTGTTCTCAAGAGATTTCTACTCGATCTGTTGCTAGCCCTGTCGGCAGTGACACGAGGACCACGACATATGCTGAAAAAGTCAAGGAAAACATTCAAGTAACAGAATTGGAAGGGCCCTTTGGAGCTAGTGATGACTACAAGGTTGAATACAGTGTTCAATCCCCTGAGTCAGCTCTTGATTGCTGCGGTGAGATGATTCCCACACCTCCGCTTGTTTCTGAAAATATGCTCAGGTTCAGTTTGAGGACAGCTCGGACCAATCTGGAGAGAGTGGAGGACAGAGCCAAAGCTGTCAACAAGAAGAGAGATCTGGAAGGTACTTCTTCGTATACCAATTCCTTTGCCGTTCTTTCTGATCCCGAACTTATGCTTAGAGCTAATATGATGGGGGTCATGATCCCTAACACTGATTTTCCAAAATTAGTATTCTGCGTGAGCTCGAGAATTTTAGAAATAATGCTGTTGAGAAAGAAACCCCCCTGTTAGTAATATGTTCATCACTAGTGGGAAGGGGGAGGATATCCCTATTAATCTTAAATGGGGGGATGATTACAATAGTGACACCTCTGACTTTACTGTGGTTGGCCCTAGAACGAAAAGGAGTGCTAGGAAAATCAAAACTAGTGTCTCTAGGCCCAGAACTAGAAGCCAAAAAACAGTGGAGCCCATTGTTGATCCTGGTAATGCTGCCAAATCTCCTGGCAGAGTGACCAGGGGGAGGGGGAGGAAGAAAAATTTGAAATGAATGGTCTCTTTTGGAATTGCAGAGGGGCAGGCAAGAAGGGAATGACTACTTGCCTTTCTGACTTTATCAGAGATCATTCCCTAGATTTTCTTTGTCTGCAAGAGACCAAGAAGAGTAAGATCACTCCTAGTTTCCTGAGGAAAATAGATGCCTATAACACCTTTGGGTGGAATTGGGTTCCTTCTCTGGGCAAGTCTGGAGGCATGCTTTGTGGGGTTAAGAAAAGTAGGCTGGAAGTGGTTTCCTGGTCCCTAGGCAAATTCATTATGCAAGTAGTCATGTTTGATGTTGACAATAAGTGCATCTGGCTCTTTTAAATGTGTATGGGGCTGCTCATGAGGAGCAGAAAGAAGAATTCCTTTATGAGTTTGCTAGCTTTTGTAGCCATCTTTCCATGCCCTATATTGTGGGAGGGGACTTCAACATTCTCAGACACTATGGTGAGAAGAATAAAAAGATGGCTGCTTCGCAATATGTTGATAGATTCAATGCCATTATTAATACTATGTGCTTGAGAGAAATCTTTATTGAAGGGGGCATATACACTTGGTATAACAATCAAAAACACCCCACCTTGGAGAAACTTGATAGAATCCTCATGAGCACTGACTAGGAGGATTTGTTCCCTTTAGTCACTGTTAGGAAGCTGGTTAGAGACCTCTCTGACCACAATTCTCTCTTGCTTTCTACTAACAGTAATCGCCCTCAGTCCCCCAAACCTCATGAATTCAGGTTTGAGATGAGCTAGATGACCAAGGAGGAGTTTCTCCCATTGGTTGAAAAAATCTGGCAGAGGCATGTCAAATCATCTGACCCCATTGATGTTCTTAACATCAAATTAAAACGTTTCAAAAAGTTCTTTAAAGGGTGGGGCTCTGATAAATTTGGGCATGACAGGAAAAAGAAAGACGATATCAAAATAGAGCTTGCTGACATAAAATCTATGGAAGAGCAAGGGCATCTTGAGCCTGACATGCTCGATAGGCGAGCTGAGCTTTGCAGTAAGTTGCAGCAAATGCTTGCCGATGAAGAACTTTTTTGGTTACAACAATCCCATGAGACATGGCTGTTGAAAGGGGACCAAAATACTTCTTTCTTCCATAGGATTGCCAATGGTAGGAAAAGAAAAAATACAATCCACTCTTTCTCCAATGGAGAGGAGATGATCGAGGGCACTGAAAACCTTCTTAAACATGCCACTGATTACTATAAGGAACTCTTTGGGGAAGCTCCTGGTAACCTTTTCCATCTTGATCCTAAGTCTTGGGGGGAGGATGAAAAACTATCTGAGTCAAACAACGATTTCCTTACTCGTCCTTTTAGTGAGGAAGAAGTTAAAGCGGCCCTCTTCTCTATGGACTGTAATCGTGCTCCAGGCCCAGATAACATACCCGCAGAGTTCTATAGATTCTGTTGGGAGATAGTGAAGCATGACATTATGAATTTGTTCGTGGCCTTCCAGGAAGGTACCTTGGATGTAGAGAGGCTCAACTGCGGTATTATCACTCTAATTCCCAAAGTTAGTGGAGCCAAGAAAATCCAAGAGTTCCGCTCCATTTTCCTCCTCCGTTGCCCCTACAAGCTGATTACCAAAGTTTTGGATAACAGGGTGGCAGTGTTTGCTGATAAGCTCATCAGCCACCATCAAAACGCTTTTATCAAAAAATGAAATATAATGGATGGGATCTTGACTTTGCATGAGGTCCTCCACCACACTCATGTTAAGAAGAGGACCGGGGTCGTGCTTAAACTCGATTTCGAGAAAGCATACGACAAGGTCAATTGGGACTTCCTTCTTGAGTGCCACAAATTGAGGGGTTTCGGAGATAAGTGGTGTGCATGGGTAGATCAAGTTCTGCGGAACGGGACCGTGAGTGTTAAGATCAACAACATGGTAGGGCCTTATTTTCAAATCTTCAAGGGGGTTCTTCAGGGAGACCCTATGTCCCCCTTCCTGTTTAACCTAGCCGCTGAGTGTTTATCCAAAATGGTGTTCAATGCCCAAAAGAATAATCTTCTCAAAGGGCTCGCGGCTGACCTTGTCCCA